CGCTTTCGATTCAATGCGCTATATTTCAAATTGATTCGATATTGTTCATTAAAAAATGAAGGTTAAATCATGGCTGTGATGCTGAAAATCTTTGTTAAACCACTTCTTGTGCAAAGTTCATATGAAACACAAACATTTTAATCATCAAAATAGTGAAAATGTTAAATGTGTTGCATAAACAAGTTTTCATCCTCTAATCAAACAACAAAACTGTAGCACCGTAACAAAATAATTTAGTAAAATATACCACAAAATACTCATGGTAATATAACAATACAGCAGCCCACGATATCGATACTGTATCATCACATTAATTACGATATATCAATATTTCAATATTTTTGCACATCCCTAACAATGTGATATATATTTTTTAAACATTATAATATTATTATTATTAACATTATATATTATTATTATACAATAGCTTTTTTTTCTCATTTTAGAAGTGAACATTTTCTTCTTCTATGGTGTTCAATTGGCACTGAATGCCAGTTTACATAGCACACATGGAGTAAGTATTTTGTTTAGTAAACTTTGAAGGACATTTCTGCGTCCTTATCCCTGGTGAAGTCTGACCTGGGTCACATTAATCCTGCCTCACACAGACACAGTATAGATAGTGTGGAGCTGCTGTTGTGATGGAGCAGGGATGACCCAAGGCTGAGGGGAAACGTGCCATCTGCCCCAGTATGACAGTCACTTTAGCCCCACTGTGAGCCCATCTGTGGAGGAGGAGACATGAGACCTGAGACAGGGCATCAGGGGCAAAAGGGTGAGGGGTTGAGAACATACAGCTTGAGGTATTAAGATATACTATAAATGTCTGGGGTGTTGTTATTTAAATCTGTATTTAAGGTTTATTACTTTTAATTTGATCCCTTGGCTCCCTGTTTTATATCAGGCCGTTATAGGAGTCATGTAGTGCAGGGAGAAGTCCATTATTTGTTTTTAAAGACACACAATGAAACATTTCTGGTGGGTTATCTGCTACCATGGAGGTGTCATTGCTTTGCCTAGAATGTTCCACAGTATTTCACTTATCTATCTTGCATTTACTCAGTTGTATGTGTATTTATCTGTAACAAAAAACCTTGATTTAGTTTTGTTGTGTGTCCCTCAGTTTAATCACTCATTTTTGTATAGACCTGCGTGACCGTGACCTGTTTTTTGGCACAAAACTCATTGTATGTTAATTCTGTTATTTTATTTCTTTGTTTAGGTTATTTTCTGTAAATATTTTTACCTGTTTTGTTAAGTTACCCTTTTACATTCCTGTTAATTAAACATTACTTAAATTATTCCATTCTCCACTTTTTTTTTTTTTTTTTTTTTGTGTTGTAACACCGAGGCAAAACTATTATTACACCAGACTATCAATGCTAATACCTGTGTTGATAGAATAATTTTAGCAGTAAAACCAACCTTGAATTTGAAGGATTTATGTCTGAGCAGCAGCAGTGAGTTGTTCTTCCTAATAGAAAGCTTGGCAGTGGCAGACTAATATATGAGAAAATAGTCCCTCAACATGTGATGATTCATGTGATGCAAGGTTTTATTTCAAACATTATTCTATCAACACAGACATTCACATCAACAGTCTGGTGTAATAAAAAAATTGCTTTGGGTGATTTGTGGAGTGGGTAAGACTGTTTTTAGTGACAGGATAACTATGGCCATTGACATGCACTAGCCTAGCACCAGCGACCTCTGCAAATACAAGGACTGGATGGAATATTTTAAAAAGCATCTCCACACGTCTCCAACACTCTGGCTCACTAGGAAATGAAGTCCTATGTCCAAAATCCCAGACTGGCACTTTAAAGAGGCACTGTAACTTTTCTAACTCCATATAAACACGTTGATACCATCAGGTCATGTTACAGGTCAGATCTGTGGAGTGGAGTGGTGACTTTGCTTACAGTAAGAAGACATATTTAGCTATTTAAACACATCTAATTGAATAAAAATGTGATAGATGAGTTTCATGTCACACTGTGTAATGTTCCAGCTCCAGCTCCATGGAGACAAGCGGGTGAGGGACCCCACATGCCAAAACTGCACCTTTAACCTTATAAGACTTGACTGACTGTAACCACTTAAGCCCTTCCTGATCACCCTCTTTCCTCACATACCACCGCTACGCTCCTATTCACCCTGCTTTAAACAAACAGCCCTCCTCCAGACTACATGTTATCACCTGACCATCACCCAGCACCTTTTAAATTAATCAAACTCATTCAAAAACATTAGTGACTGGAAACAGGATCCGGTCATGTAGAGCCGCTCCACGGTCTTCTCAGTGCAATCTCTCACCACCTACGGGGCTTTTAAACACTCATTTGGCTGGAAGATGAAGTCTAGTTTGATCGACCATGATGGCTCCCAATAGAGAACGCAATCAAGCAAGCTAGATCACAACACGCCTATTGTAACATGTACAGAAAGAGAGGGCGAGACGGAGGGAGAGAAGGCCCATGAGGAGAAACAAGAGGGTTTAAAACTGGTAAAAAGCTAAAGGTTGGCCCATAGAGGGACTTTGAGTTAATATATTATGAGCACTCAATGTCAGATTTTGTTCAAGGTCTTTTAAATGTGAAATTCATGATGCTATGTGATAGTTTAGCACTTGATAAGGTCTACTACTAATACATGTTCATTTGTCAAGATTGTCATGACCAATTAACGAAACCTGAGATTCGACAATTCCCCGATTTCCTAAAATAATAGACACACAAGTTCAAGAAAAATCAACTTTAATCATTTGACTAACAACAACTCACTTTCTGTAGAACAACTCACCCTTATCTCATAGTCCCTACAACTGTCCCTACAACTGTACAACAACTCACCCTTATGTCATAAATAATACTCCCTACAACTGTACAACAACTCACCCTTATGTCATAAATAATACTCCCTACAACTATACAACAACTCACCCTTTATGTAATAGATAATACTCCCTACAACTATACAAAAACTCACCCTTATGTCACAGATAATACTCCCTACAACTGTACAACAACACACCCTTATGTCATAGATAATACTCCCTACAACTGTACCACAACTCACCCTTATGTAACAGATAATACTCCCTTGTCTAAGTCTAACTAGTAACTCAAATAATAGCACTTTTACTTTATGAAATATAATATCCTCTGTCTAACTCAGTCTCTCCACTCTGGTCTCTTCCACTAAATATAATAATAATAATTATGTATATGCTAAACCATGGACCATTATTACTGACAATATTTACATGAACATTGTATTCAGAGACAAATTGCATTTTGATTGACATGTGCGTGTGTGGTTTTCAGGATGCCATATTGGACAGATACATAAGTTTTATCTTGACATAGCCTCCCATATTTTTCTGCCAACACTTTCCAATAATAACTATCTGTCAAAACAGGAGTATATTTCTTTGAATAGATTCACTCCCACGTTGAGCATTTTTAAAGTGTAATTTAAGTGTCAGATTGTCTACAGAATACACGGTATAGATCACACACAAAGGATCTGCCACTCGTTCTACACAAAGTAAGTATCTTCAGTAACTAAAAGTGTGTAAACATTGTCAGAAAATCACTTTAAACACCTTAAATAAATTACTTCTTGAGTTGCAGAGAAAGAAAAGAGGTTGGTAGAAAATGTCAGAAATTGAGTGAAGAAAGTGTTTAGACTGGATTGATCCATGGGGTTTAACTCAGCTTCACAACAAAGAGCAACACAAACACGCAAAGCCCAGCAAGCCAAATGATCCAATTATGTTCTCCCCAAAATGAGCAGAAATTCTACAAAACAAAATTATTTCAAGTAGTGAACAGAGCGTCTCCTCCAAGCAGACATGACATCACACCATAACAAATAACTCAGTATCATCAAATTTAAGGCTGGTGATCTGGTCAGTGATACCTTAAAGGGCCCATATTACGCTATTTTCTGATCTATGTTATAATGTTTCTTCATCAAAAACAGACCTGGAGTTGTGTTTTGTTTCATTCAAAGGTCATTTTTAACCCACCAACCCTGCATATTTAGGCGGTGTTTTTCTCATGAACGAAAAAGACTGTTCCACGTTGTGATGTCTTGTTTTTCAACTCCACACACCTTTACTAGAATTATTTGGAAAATTTACTGCGAATCATTACTGACAAAAGCTAAAAGGTTAATTTGAAAACTAGCACTACATGACATCACAAGGTGGAACAGAGTATTTTGAGCTTTGGGAATGAAGACAGACTAATAATAAAAGCTCAAACATGCGTGAATAAAACAAAACACGAGTCTAGGTATGTTTTTGAAGAGGAAACAACATGTCTCATGGATAAAAGCCCACAAGAGTCAATTTGCATAATATAGGACCTTTAATTTATGTACCTGTGTTAGTGGAAAGGATGTAAACGTGTACATCTGCAGTTTTAAGGTCAATTTATAGTTCCGTGTCGACTCAACACACACTGTCGCCGTCGCCTTGTCACCGTCATTTTTGATTTATAGATCTACGTCAAGGTCTATGCTCCTTGAAGTAATTCACCACAACTCTACGAGGCTAGGATTTGGTGTTTGTGTATACAAAATGAAGGAAAACTTAGTTACAAAATTTCAGAGGCGCACGCTGGTCGACGCAGACGCTCTCTGGAGAGGGTTCAAGACAACCCAGACTCTCTGCTTCGTGGCGCTGACGATTTGATGCACGACCATAAATTGGGCTTAAGTAGTTCAAGCCCAGACTACGATCAGTGTATTGTTGTGCTTTTGAGCAGGACACTTAATCCAGCTTGTATGTAAGTGTGGCGAGGAGTTTGAAGAGGCTATTGAAGATAACAGCCACAATCTTTGTCACTTAGTCCCAGGGCAGTTGTGGCTATAGTGTTTGTTTCCATGATGACAGAATGAGTGATACAATGTAAAGAACACCACAGTATATGGGATCAAAGCATTCTTTCATTCATATTTGTTTTTATGCTTTAGTTTAGACTCAAACCTACCTGTGGGTGGGGCAGTGGGCAGACGGGCTGCAGTGACATAGAGAGGCAGCAGGACACAGCAGAGCCAGAGGGGGCGCCACAGAGCTGTCATTCCTCCGGACGACGAGGGGCAGTGTGGAGCAGCGAGGCCCAGCTCAGAGCTCATCGTGCAGGCTCATTCTGTCCACGACCTCCTGCCTCCAGAGCCAGGAGAACACAGCAGGGCTCCTGTAGGGGACAGGGAGGGTTAGGGCCTGTGCACTCAAAAGAAATACAATAAACATCCAAATGGTAATGTGATCAAATTTGTTAAAACTAGACTTCTGCTTTGTTCAGCAGTATAAACTTCTATTAGAATTATGTAGAAAATCTGAAAGTCTCTTTGTTTATTCCTAATTTAGACCCAGTTCAGGCCTGATGTAGCCCTAACACATCCTGGTTTAGACCTGGTTTGGACTGGATAAAGTCCTGACTTAGTCCAGTTTTAAATCTACTTTAGTACAAGGTTAGATGGTATTCAGCTTTCAGTTTTCAGTTTTTTTTTTAATTTAACTGTTGGACTAGGGGTCCACTACTTATTTGGAATGTTGCAAGGAATGTTTCACAGTACGGCATTAGACATATGTTGTATAATTTTTATTTAAGAACTTTATTGATGAAAAAATACCTTGAACGGATCATCTCTCCGCAGAGCTGACCTGTAACTTGGCTTGGTAGCATCACCTGCTAGTTTCAGTACAGTTTAAATAGAGGTTTGATGCCATACTGTGCAACATTCTAGATAAAATAATAACATCTCCATGGAGAAGAGCAAGAAAGTGTAACAAGAAAGTTACACAGTGTACATTTAACCATCAAATGTATGGTAATAGAATACACTCAACAGACAAAAACAAGGGAAAAATAACAATGAACAAAGTGCATTTGTGAACCTGCTCCATACTTCGACCTGACATTCTTCTCAGATTGGAAGGATTAGAGCGGAAATCCCACTTTACTAGAATTTGCAGGAACTTTCCACCTTTTTCTTCTTGTTAAGACATCAGCAACAATATTTGCCATTCACTTTTAAAGCTGCTTTTCACGCAAACACTAAGTCCAGAATCCAATTAACTGCACCGCAAACAGACTGGAGAAATACCCAAGGCAAACAACACGAGGCTGTCATTCCTCCTACATGACTCTTATGAGACTGTTGCACTTGGTTTAGCATCAGATTGACACTCATTGGCTAATCGCGCTGGAGGACTAGGAATGCACAAGTGTGAGCACCAACAAACCAAGAAAAGAAGGCATTTGGTTTACTGTTTATTTAAGGGGAATGTAATACAGCGTGCAGGTCTGTACCACCTTGGTACACACACATAACTTAGCTCAAATGAAGATATTTACGTGCCACCTGCTTGACTCCATGTAGATGTTAATGTTTTTTCTTACAGTATGGCATTTAATTTAACTACCTCTATAGAGACAGGCCACATCACCAGGTCAAGTTACACGTCGGGTTTGAGGAGAATTGGGCTCGCTCACAGGAATAATACATGTTTTTGCAGTAATTTTGGGAAATAAAAAGTTACATAGTCCACCTTTACATTTCATTGATATTAGTAGGTTGTTAGCCAGGCTGGTGTCACCTAGTGCCTCTTGTTAATTTCATTTGTCTCCAGCGACTAGGCCAGGAATCACAATACACTAGACGATTCGCAAAAACCCCAGAAGTGCGAGTCTGGGCACCAGCCAATCAATGAAGAATCAGACATTCCGTGCTGGCAAAGATTCCCGAGATTGAGGATTTAAAGACGGAACAAAGAGAATGTTTGGTGAGTTTTATCAAGGGGAAAGACGTCATTGCCCTTCTTCCTACAGGATTTGGGAAAAGTTTAATATACCAGTTAGCCCCGCATTACATATGTCATGACCAAATAGCAGCGATTGGTTAAATAAAAAAAGTACCCACCTACCGCTGAGCGAACGAATTTTAATGTTGCAAAATCAGACGGTTTCTATGACGTGAAACTTTCTGATGAATCAGGCTAGTAGGTTGTAGGATACACTCTTCAGTAGTTGCATTACCATGGCTTTAAATGAAAGGAATGATGCTAAACTGCATATTTAAAATTAACCACATACCAGTGAATATATTGCTCATTCACTAGTGATTCTCAAAATATAGTACCACTGAGTTACATGTGTTCTTTCTGGGGGTTTTAACTACATTTTTGACCTCCTCTCTTAAGTTCTTAGTGTACTACGGCACAACGGTCTAATTTTGGACCCTGGTCTATCTGGACCTTGTCTATCTCAGTCAAGTATGTTTTTAAAAATGGCCGATTTGTTTGTACATTTAGCTAAATTTTAACTCTTTAACAATATATTTCCTATAAGAGCCATGACTTCTTATGTGCCTCTTACAACATACAAGAGGAACACATTGTCCACTAATAATACTTCAAATATTTGCTCTCTCTCTGTTCTTTACCTGCCTGCCCCAGCTCCTGCAGGCTTAAATAAGTCCTGTATGTGTGTGTGTGTGGGGGGGTGTGCAGGCTTGCGTGTGTGGGTGTGTGTGTGTGTGGGACATTACAGAGGCCTATGGGAGCTGCACATAGGGCGTATTGTGCACTACGGGCTCGTGTGTTGTCTTAAGTTTTCCGGGTGTTTTTCTTTCCCCCAGAGGAGCATGCGACCCGCTCTGAGGCCAGCACATAGAAGCACGTCTGTGTTTGCAAATTATCACTGTCTCCAGAGTCCAAATCCAGCTCTGGGTGGATGCAGAGGACAGAAAAAGACCTTATCTCAAATGTGTACTGTTCTGTTTATGTATTGCAAAAGCTATATTCAAGAAGTCGGGCACAGCGAGGACACGGAGTCAAGGGTCAGTTATGTATTTACTACTATTACTACCATGCAACTCCTAGAGTTAGAAGTATTGGTAGTAGCAGCAGTAGTAGCAGTAATAGTGGTAGTAGTAGTTAGCAGTTGAGCCCATTATACAGCCTCACTGCCCACTACTGGTCACAGACTACGATTACTATACAACAGTTACAAACATTCAATCTCAGAAACTACTTTAAAGGTGCCCTCTGTAACTTGTAAACCTGTTTCCATGGAGACATTACTGCTTTGCATGAAAGGTTTCACAATTTGGCATTAAACTCATCCATGTTACATTTATTCAGTTGCCATATTTTTCAGACTATAAGTCGCTCCAGAGTAAGTAAGTCACACCAGCCAAAAAATGCATAATGAAGAAGAAAAAAACATATATAAGCTGCACCGGACTATAAGTCACACGTTTTGGTGAAAATGTATTTGATAAAACCAAAGACCGGGAACAGACATTTCATCTTGAAAGGCAAGTTATAGTAACAACAATAGCATAGAGAACAACAGACTGTTAATAACTTATAACGTTATAACGTTAACTATAACATAAACAACATAACAAGTTTACCAAACTCTCCATCTCACTCCAAATCACTAAATCCAATGAATTCTTCATCCTCTGTATAATTTCTGAGCAACTCTGTGACATCCAGAGGTAAGCCACTTCCTCTTCTCTATAGCAGTTGTCAGATTCAGCATCATTATTCAATTATTCTGGCCTTTCTGAATCCCGACAGGATGATTTCTATTGTCACTGAAGTCCAGGCTTTGTCGATCCATCCAGTGACTTCCAGGAAAGTTGCATGGCGCACCCTCCCGGTTACTGTGAAGCTTTGTTCTCCATCCCCGCTTTCAGTCAGTCCCTCACAAGTTTCTCGTTCACTCCAGACTTTCTTTCTGCTGCCTGATTACCATTTTCAGCTGCATATTATCATGACTTGTGACAGGACAGCGGCTCTTTCTGCAGGAGACATGCGCAGTACAGCCAAGTTAGCTTAGAGCGCCCTCTCGCGGCTGTCAATGTGAACATTTTTATATACAAGTTGCACCTGAGTATAAGTCGCAGGACCACCCAAACCATGAAAAAAGTGTGACTTATAGTCCGAAAAATAAGGTACTGGTGTTTTATTGCTCAAAAATACTATGAAAAAACATGCATTCCTACAGTGAGTGAGCTTGCCTTTCCACACATCTGATCTGTAATTTGGCCTGGAGGCACTGGAGGCTTGTCTCCATGCATATCAGTGAATTTAATGTAATACTGTGCAACGTTATAGACAAAGCAATAACATTTCCATGAATCAATCGACAATTGTGTGGACAGAAAGTTACACAGTTCACCTTAAAGAAAAGCAAAGGTCAAAAAAAGTTTATGTAAAACGTTGACAGCTCATTGAGATATATATCATAAAACAATATATTGCAATCAGAATTTCACAACACAGCCAAACACACTGTCAAAACTTGCTCATCATAAAACCTAAATTCAATTGCATCACCTTGAATCACTGTGTCATTTTGAACAAAGGAAGTACTAATGAAGCAATGGCGTTTGTAATGTTATCTTAGCTCAGTAAATGTGTATCTCATTTTATTTCACAATTTACATCTGGAATTAAAGACGTGAATATTTGGCACATAAGCAATAACAAAATGACTGGAACCGAAAGCCCACATAGTGTAAGTTATCGTCTCTTGCAATTACTGCTAATCAACTTTGTGAAAACTTGGAAAGCCACAGCGTTTGAATTTTTCTCTAATGGTCACTAATTAGACAGTAATGACACAAGCTTCAGAATAATGGTGAATCAAAGCAAATTACCCAAACAAAACAACATCATTAAAGTATGATATAATTCACTGTGTAATATATTCAGTATACTACTAACACATAAAAGTTTTCATCTCATTTGCAACACTAAAAAGATACTGACCAGAAATGGGACCAAGTCATTTTGCAAGTCTCAAGTCTTTCACCTCAAGTCCCAAGTCAAAGACAAACAAGTCCAAGTCGAGTCTCAAGTCACGGGCCCATAAATCCAAGTCAAGTCCAAGTCGTCTGCTTTGAGCTTCAAGTCATTTCAAGTCTTTAAACTAAGCAGTACTTAGAATGTCATGGTATTTTTAAATAAGAATTGTAGAAATGCAAATTTTCCCTTTTTCAATGTCTTGACAAGATCTTGAATCATTACGATCAGAACAGAAAGAATTCAGATTTAAAAGTGCTAAATAACAGTTGGTTTATCATGTAGTTCGCACTGAAATACAAAAATCATGTTCTATGTAGTTCTCCCTGTTTTACTGTATTGTACTGTATATTACTGTAGTATCTGAGGATACAC